ATCCTCACCTACAAGGCCATTCACGGCCTTGCTCCCTCCTACCTCTCCAACCTACTATCCCCCTACCTACTTGCCCGTACCCTCCGTTCCTCTGGCTCCGGTCTGCTCCACATCCCCCACCCCAACCGCCCTACCATCGGCCTCTCAGCCACTAGGCTCTGGAACTCTATCCCCCAGTGCCTTCGCCTTGCCTGCTCCCTTTCCTCCTTCAAGGCCGGTCTCAAGACCTTTCTCTTTGACCGTGCCTTCAGCTCCCCTCTCGACTCTCTACCCCCTCCTAGCTTCCTCCCTTCCCTCCCCTCACCCTGACCATTTCCCCCTTGCTCGGATCCTGACCTAACTGTACAGCGCCTTGGGACGTCCTCCCGACGTGAAACGCGCTCAATAAATGGAATCTTGTTGTTATGACATCTTAGAGACGTCCCAAAGCGCTTCACAGAACACACTGTAAAGTGAATTGACTGTATATTTGTGGGCGAACTTCATATGTTTATGGTCCATGTCTTCAGTCCCTGATCAGGATTAGTCTTTTGAGGGGCACCCATCAGGCAGTGGCTGAATCAGACTTTACAACAACAAAATTACATTTGTATAGTGTTTTTCACATTGGGGGGGACGTCCTAAAAGACAACAAATTTATATTTGGATTGTAAGGCACCTTCTACGTTCTTTTTTATGATCTCCCTCAACTATACCATTTGTGTTACACCCTCTTGTACCTACTGACATATTGTTTGTTTCCTTTCTCCCTTCTGAGAGTAATTTCATTAAAACTATGGAAAGACAGAATGGACATACAGTAATGTCACATACTGTGCTGCACAGTAAAGCGTATTAGGAAGAACAGTCACTGAAATTAATTCATTGTCTAGATAAAAAAAAGCAATGATTGTCTTGAGTTTCTCACATATGTTAATCTATGACTATCAATGCTGCACTGAAATCCGAAGTTCAAAAGGAATCAAATTCGTAGCTGCAATGTTCAAATATCTCTGGAGAAGGGAGAGAGGGTGATCACAACATTCAACAGACAGTATGAATGTCTCTTTTCCCCACATAAGGGATAAAGTTTGTAGCTTTTCATATCGCTTTCCTTACATTAGCAGCATGTTATGAAATGCTACACATACTTCCCTAATTGCTGCATTGCATTTAAATGAAATAAGATTCTTTTCAAATAATATTGCACCGTTAATATGAACAAAATTCTGCAGAAGGGGATTTGTAATGAATTACAATTTTGTTTTTGGCATTTCTTGTTATTTACTCAAAACATTTTCAAGAGTTATGGTTAATCCTACCTTGGTAAATAAAGCAACCTAATGCCATCCATCTAAAATGGTGGTAGAAAATCCAAATAATAGATACTCGCTCGAATGGATTATAATGGTTCTTTAATACTCAGAATCCCAATGGGTTAATACACTCAGTTAATTGCCCGCAGGCATAGCCATCGTCCCAACTATCTACTAGTTACGATCGTACCGGACATAATTTCTGCGAGTACCAAGGCCACCGTCCCAAATATTTACTAGTTACGGTCGTACCGGACTCATAAACACGTCTACTGCTGAGTGTATTAATTCAGAGTATCTTGCCGAATCCCAAATTGTTTGAAAATAAAATCAGCCAAATCTGTAAGGAAATAACACTAATTCCTTTAACCAGATATCTGACTGTTTTATTATTATTCGTTCGTTATTCCCCAATATCCCGATGGGTCAGACCAAAGGCCGGTACAATCAACAGATCTTATAACAGAACAATACCACTGTAGATATCTCGAGTTCAACACTGTGTCTTTACAACACACAAGCTTGATTCTTCATGCTTTCAGTCTTCTTTCTTACAGCTTTCAATCTTCCATCTGATATCCTCAGTCTCAGTGTTTCTAGCTCTCAGTCTTCCATCTCCGTACCCTTGTCTCCGCAGCCCGGGATGGCCCCATCTCCCGTATCCTTGTCTCCACGACCCGGGACGGCCCCATACACAAAGTTATCGGAACTCTTATACCGATGTTTGTCCAATCATGGTGCGGACATTAGAGCACCTGTCGAAATCATGCTGGGTTCACGTGAACACCTCATGGGGTGTACGTGCCTCACACACATACACATTATCCTTAAGACCCCTGTTATCTGATCTAATTGTCTAAAATAGAGGATTGATCAGTTTAGGGCTGTATCTGGTGCTCATTATTTTGTGGTGTGGGATCATTAGTACATTCCTTTTAAGTGACTGGTTATTTCTTATCAGTATCCCGGGATGGTACCAAGGTCCTCTAGTTTAAGCAACTTGCTCATTAGTTGCTATTCTTGAGGGTTGTTTTCTGTCGGTTGGCCCTGTCAGAATCTAGCGACTTATTGCTCAGTCGAGATCCTGTGTCGACTGGTACCTTGGACCGTTACTTCTGTGGGCGTGTTGTCATTTACTGATAAGAGGTGACCCCCTGCCCTTTTCCAAAGCTGTCCTGTTATTGTTTCAAGAGCAGAGAAAACCAGATGTGTCCTATCCCATGACTGTCAGTTCAGTTGCCCCCCACACTTAAATTAAAAGTTAACCCGTTCGCAACATCTATTATGATTCTAACATTATACAAAAAGTGTAAATTCTAACAATGGGATTCATTGCACATTGCAATTCCCTGTCCGGCAAACAGGGGAAGCCAACAAAATGCAAGTCTAAGGGAGAACCGCACTGTGTCACTGTTCCTCTGCGAAGTTATATGTTTGTGGTATTAAAAGAAAATACATATCATATCATTGTTTTTTGTAATAATTACAATGTCAATGAGTCATTGAGCTGGAAATTGGAAGTAGCACGTGAATAAAATAAAGTTGTGTGTTCTCAGTGCTATGGCTGAGGTATTTTGCGATTGAGTGTTGGAAGTATTTACAAGCCCCACAGCTAAACAGATTATGCAAACAGAAAATCCTAACTCACCAGTGATGCTATTTATCACATGTTAATGTTGGCAATGACATGTTCTCTACCTAGTTGATGCCTTTGAGCTGTGATCAGTTTGGCTCCACTGACATTTCTATTGAACCATCTGGCAGCACATGAAGGAAGGAAAGGGATGTGCCTACTTAGTTAATTCTCCCAATGGATTTGATTGTGGGTTTGATGTTCAGCGATATTATGGAAATTTTCTGAATTATTATGGAGAAAGATCACGATTGCCTGCATAATCTTTTTTAGAATTTCATCACCCTCCATGAAGCTTATATATAAAGGTATTTCAAGGCATCTATATGGATACATGCTCTGATGGTGTTGACTCTCCTGGGGTACAGACCCATAAATGTTCAACACCCTCCGATACGTCAGGTATTTGAGTCTCAGTTTGGCTCAATCAGTAACACTCTGGACTCCTAAAAATATACAGTCACCACACCTTACAGTAAATCTTGTGAAGTGTTTTGAGACATTTTGATGATGAGATTTGGTCCTGTAAACCTAATATCCTCCAGTCACAGCATTGAGGTGTTTTTTTTAAAGTGAATTCAGTATCGTTTCCTCAACCATTGTTCTTGGTAACAGTTGTTCATGTTCAAATCCCTTCACTCTCTGGCACCTCCCTATCTCTCTAATCCCATTCCCCAATCCACTCAAATCGCACTGGCCTCCTGCTTTTCGCTTGTGCCCTCCGCTCCACCATTGGATGTCGCACATTCAGCCACAATGCCCCGTAACTCTGGAACATTCTCCTTCAATCCCTCCGGCTTGCTCCCTTCTTCCCCCTTTTCAAGTCCAATCTGAAAACCTTCCTTTTCACTCCCCACTCCCAGCTTGGGTCAGTCTCCACCACTGTTAAGCACTCTGAGACGCTACCTTAAGCGGAGGGCGCTATACAAGTGCAAGTTTTTTGTTGTTGTTGTTGATTAACTACTGAATACAAAAATACTTCCTGCTTTCTGAACTGAAAGTGCCCTTTGCAAAGCTAAACCTGTGATGCTCTATTTCTGCTATCATCATGCATCAGAAGATATTGTTCTGGGATCACCTTCTCAGTTCTATTTAAAATCTTGCATAACATGTGTCTGAATGATTTTGCTTCAAGGACCAAAACTGCTGAATAAGCTTCACCAATGTTCATGACTGAGATAAAGATAAATTGGTGATAAAAGCAATCAGCTGCAGTGAGGAAAATAACAACAACTACAACTTGATTTATGTAGCACCCTTCACGCAGAGAGCTAGGACAGGCTCTGAAATATTTTTTAAAAATTAATTTTAAATGTCTTTAGTCTACACTAAAGACCCTAAGAATGTTCAGCTGGGAGAAGAGTTGATAGAATGAAGTCCATATTATAGTAGATTTTGTGTGAAGAAATAAAAGAGGAAAATGTATTTGGAGCAGGTGGCCATGTATAACACTCCCTTGTTTCCAGCCTTCAGACGAGATGCTAAACTGAGGTCCTGTCTGTCTGTTCAGGAGGACGTCATGGATCCCATGGCACTATTTGAAAAGAGAAGGGACTTTCTCCCTGTGTCCCGGCCAACAAATCCTTCAAATAAAATTGATAATTTGCTCCATGGCTATTTGTGGGACATTGCTGTGTGCAAACTGGCTGTCGAGTTTCGCCAACAAAATACACAGTCAATCCACTTTGGGTATATCTTGTAAAGCTATTTGAGATGTTTCAATAACGCGATAAGGTGCAATATTACATACAAGGATTATTTCTATTATTACATTCTTATGGGTCAGAGATGACATCCAAGGTAAGTCCTATTGACTTGTGCTCGTATGTTACTTGTTATTTGAGTTAATTGCTTTATTTTGTATTGGGATTCCTAATTAAGCGAATTCCTTATCAGAACATCTGGAATTGTGAATCAGTGTGATGTACTTCCGATTATTCTATTGGAAGGATTCAACAACTTGAACTCCTTATGAAGAACTCTCGTTAAGAAATGTCACATATTGGACCCCATTCTTGTGAAAGAATAACCATTCTAAAACATTTCCCTTTTCTTCTGTGTTTTGTGATCAGGTGTCATCCGCACAGCTCTATCAAACATGGACAGAGAAGTAAAGGAGGATTATGAAGTGCTCATTCAGGCCAAAGACATGGGAGGGCAGATGGGAGGATTAGCAGGGACAACGACCGTAAATATTACCCTCACTGATGTCAATGATAATCCACCAAGATTTTATAAGAGTAAGCATGGCTTCTGCTTTCTTTCATTAGTACAAAACGCAAACTGTTAAAAATGGATAATCTAATGGTATGTCCCACAAATTATCTGTATATATCTCAGTGAAAATGATTCAAAGGTGCATGATTTCAACAGATAACTTTTATGCAATTTTTTTTTAAAAATTGCACCAAAATTGCGGCAGTGCTGGTGGGGAGGGGGTTAAGGGAGGTAAGTGTTTACATCTAAGACCAGTCAATGATTGATGAAACTTGATTGGACCATAATTTTCAGTGATGTGAAAATTATTACCATAACAATTTTATCACACCATGGATCACAATGTGTTAAATGAATACAGTGTATGACATGGTTGCACTGTGGACACTGTTTATGCACATGTCTATAGCCGGCCAGTTCTCTTCCGCCACATAGGCTGAGTTTGGGTATTAAACCTGCTAGTCTTTAAGTCGACGTCAAAATCACTTTCTGCTTTCTGCAGATTGTGAGATGACATTGGCAGCAACCTAATGACCCAGAAGTAGCTTTTTAAGTGTCCATTTTAATTTATTTTCACATTAGCTAAATAAAGGTGGCCAACTTCTGGACAATCAGGTCACCACCAATACCACTCCTGCTTTGCATATGCACTGCAGACAGGAATAATATAGCAATGATCTATTTAACCAAAGGTCAGTCATTTTTTCAGAACTCTGCAGTTCATGTCCTCTCTCGCACCAAGTTCCATGACCCTATCATCCACACTCTCACCCAGTTCCACTGGCTCCCCATCCCCCAGAGGATTGAGTTTGCCTTCAAAGCCCTCCATGTCCTTCCTACATCTGTGATCCGCTAACACTATATCAATCTGCCCTACGAATCGGAGATCCCCATGCCATAAATTAATTTGCAACCATGTCATAAATTAATTTGCACAATAGTAATGTGTGTTATAACAGTCTCTCTGCCCCCACCCTATGGAACTCTATCCCACATTCCCTTTGCCTTGTTCCTTTCATTGCTTCCTTGAAAGCACGTCTCAAGACCTTCCCCTTTCACCATGCCTTCGGACACCCTCCTACCACTAACCTCCATGCCTCCTGATCCCAAAACCCTGCCCCGGTCCAAATCTCTTTACTGTCCACATCCTTGGGACGGCCTCCCAATGTGAAAGGCATTATACAAATGTAATGTGTTGTTGTTGTTTAGGTGGACGTTAAAGATCCCATGGCACTATTCGAAAAGTTTGGGGAGTTTCTCCTGCTGTCCTGGCCAACAATCCCCCCAAATAAAAATTGGTCACTCTCACTTCATGGTTGTTTGTGGGACATTGTTGCATCCAATTGTCTGCCACATTTACCCACAAGGTACATTCACTTTTGTGATTTGCTTTGATATGTTCTCCTTAAAGATTGAAAGATGCTCTACCAAATGCAAGGATTATTATTATTATTGTTATTATTATTATCATCTGGGAGACAAACTATAAGCGCGTGTTCCTGCTTCTGACCAGTGACTTTGAATGGAAAGTGCATGTTGGAGTAGTGACAAAATCAGGCGTGATTATGATGCCTCAGCCCTCACTGTCTAGGCTCATACGTGATAAATAACCATGTGGCTGAGGTACTCCGGAGGACTGTGTGCATCTGTGGAACAAACCACCAGATTCACCAGAGGAAAGGATGCAAAATGATAAAACAGTATTAACAATTCCATGCAAGGCAAAATACCCAAACCAGCAAAAAAAATCTACAGTAAATGTGTTACTGTCCAGTTAGACATTAAGCTTCAAAAATGTGCTAAGCATTTGCAAACAAAATGTGATTCAATGAGAAACAGTTCACATTTATATGATTTTCCACTAAAATTTATACTAATAATCCTTGCATTTGATGTGGTGTTTTATCAAGTCGAAACATGTCAGAGAACTTCACGAGTTTTTCTCTTAACTGGAGTGAGTGTGTACATGTAGGTGAACACAGCAGCTAATTCACACACAGCAATGTCCCACAAACGGCCACAAAGTGAGTGATCATTTTCATTTGGGAAATAGTTGACAAGGACATGGAAAGAAATTCCTTTCTCTTCTCAAAAAGTGCCTTGGGGTCTTTAACATCAATCTGAACAGGCAGAGATGGTTTACTGTTTCACCTGAAGGATGGACTTTCTCATTTGAAGGACAAAATTTTAACTTTGAAATGGGAGAACCTCTGGAACATTTCTCTATGAACTCCTTAAATGTGAATGCTTCAGATAAGAAAATTCAATGCAGTAGAAAAACAAGTTATTCACTTTCCAGTAATGGACCATGCACCAAAGCCTTTTTGCTATGGATATCATGCTTTCATGCACCTCGCTCTTAGATAACAGGTTTATTCTCTCATGATTGAACTGTAATGTAATTACAGTTGGCCTCTGATGCATATCAGAAGATTAGGAAAAAAGCTTCAGGTTTCAAATAGGACTTACAAGCAACACAGAATTAAAGATTCTCCATGGTCCTAATTGTCACCAAACTCGCAAAACATCAGGTTAATCTATCATCATGGCACAAGTTAATTTTGATTCAAGGCACAAGAGTTAATGGAGGACTTAATCTAAGGAAAATTAGCAAAATAAACCCCTTATGCCAGAGATACTAAAATAAAATGCAGCAATACAGAAGGGTCAGATGGCAGAAAGAAAATTACTTCATAAGAAGTTCTGCACAGAAGGAGATTATTTTGTCCATTGTGTTTGTGCTATGCCAACACTCCACTGGATCTACCTACCCTTTTTTCCCCCAAATCCTTTTATATATATTTATTAAATGATCTAATAACATATTTGACTCAGCTTCAGTAGCTACTTGTAGTAACGTTTTCCGCATATTATTGTGCAAGGCAGTTCTTCCAACCTTCCTCTTTAAGCATTTATTAATACCCCTGAACTTATGTCCAATCATAACTAATATTACAGTGTTGTAATCAATCTATCATGGTTTACCCTCTCAAATGATCTCATCATTTTAACCACTTTTTAATTCCCTTTAACCTTCTCTGCTCTACTAAATACAGTAAATATAGTTCTGCATCCATTAATGTAAAGACTTGAGAGATACATTTGCAAAGCATCAAGAGTTCAACAGTAATTTATAGAAACCCAGTTTAATTGAAAAGGGTGCTTTTTCATCTCTATATTTTGCTCATATTCATCAACAAAAAGAAAGGTTGAGAGATGATGCAGGGCCACACAACTTTAACTCTGTGATCTTAAGGAGGTTATTCATTTTAGATATGTTTCCCTTTGAGACAAGGATATCACTTGCGGAACACTACCTTTCTTATTAATCTCAATATGTTCATCAGGGCCAAATAACGTGACCCTTATAAGAACTGCAAATATGTGTAGAACTTCAATAATTTAGTGTACTTGTAAGTGACAAGTGTTACATTCATGGCAAAGTCAGTGGCAAATTTAATCAAATATGTAGTTTAATAAACAGGGATAGATAGAAGTGATATATAACCAGGGCATCCAGCACAGGAGACAAGTGTGCTAACTTTTAGAAGTAAAATGAATCTTTGAAATAATGTTATAAAAGTCCAAAACTTGTAGGTGTAATAAACTTCTTGTAGAAGTGGGTGGTCTCTGCACAAATGCCCATGAGAAGCTTCAATCTCTTTCTTCCAAATGAATTATTTTATTCTCTGACTCACAAGAGAGATAAAAAACAATCTCTATTAAAAGCATTATGTTTCTTTGAAAAAAGGGTTCCAATAAAAGTGATCAAAGCATTTTATTTAATACTAAATGTCCCAAACTTGCTCAGATTGTAAAATTACATAATTGCTAGAACCTTGAAAGATTGGCTTCAAAATATGCGATTTCCCAAACTCTAAGATCATATGTGTGACTTAATAGAAATATTTATAGATATTCCTTATCTGTAGAAAACAGAAACACTTGCTCCATTGCCTGGTTTGCAATGTTCCTTTCATATTTTGTACAGCTCTGAAACATCAAAGGGAAACACACCTGCCCATTCACCTTTTAGCCTCATCAAAAAAAATTGTGGGCTGACACATTGCTCATCTTTAAACCCAGTAATTGAAACTTGTGACAATTTTATTAACATGGGAACCTCTTGAGGGAGAGAGAAAAAGGTGTCATATGTTCACCCAATTTGAAGCATAATCCAGAATAGCTTTTAAAAGTTAATTATTTGAATATTTGAAAAATAAAAGTATGAAAAAGTTTCATGAAAGATCAGGAAGGGGAACTGAATAGATAAATCATTCAGAAAGTCTATCCAAGCACAATGGGCCAAATGGCATCTTTCTGTGCTGTAAAATTCTATGATTCTAGGATGTTATTTTTAAAGAATAGGATACCTTGGTATAAAATGGTTACTTGGATCCGATATCTAAGAGGCCAGGTTATTACAAAGCACAAAGAAAGGGCACCTTCTAAATTGTCAGGTTGCAACTGATGACACAAGATGACAGCAACAGCATTTCCTCCACTTAGTATTCTAGCACAGTATGCAGAAAGTGACACTAGGGACACTTCCTACATATCCAGGTCACTACCCCACATGAAGAGTGTTATATAAATGCACGTTGTTGTTGTTATCAGTGGTTACCTGATGACCTGGAAGTTGACCGTTTTTAGCATGGCGAGCCATGCTAGACAGCACCAGAAGTCTAGCTGGACCTGCAAATTTGCAATACTGCTAAGCAAACCTGTGCTGATATGAGGCCTCAGCGCCTTGGGTCGTCCTCCCGATGTGAAAGGCGCTATACAAATGCAATCTTGTTGTTGTTGTTATTATATCTTTATTTCACTAATTGTTTAGGCTTTGTAACTAATTCTATGACATACCATTGAATTTTACGAAGTTCAGTTTTTAATGATATCCACTGTTACAAAAGGAAACAGGATGAGAAGTTCTGCCATGAGCTAATAAAAGACAGAACAGCCTCAATCAACTGAAAGGTCTACCCCTTCCTATGGTCTTGCTACTTGGTCGAATATGGTGCTG